CGGTATATACCGTCTTAAAATACTAACTAACTAAAAAGTGTGAAATAAAAAAGGTAAATTTAAAAAATCAAAAAACCCGACTGCTTAATTTAATTAAGCAGTCGGGTTTTTGATTTTTTAAATTTAAGTACCTTTTTTTTATGTTTATGAATACGTAACATTAAACGCACTGAATGCCTAAAATAAAGTGTACTTGTTAAATGCTCAGTAACTAAAATAAAAATTAAACAAACTTAAGATTTTTGATTATTCTCAGAAATACCTAATCACAATAACAACAAATTCATCTTAAATATAAAGATCTACAATCAAAATGTTTACATTTAACCACTAGCTCATTGTACTGGCGCAACATACGTGTTATAAGGTTACAAATACGTAGAATATGTACTATATGGTTGCAAAAAGAACGTATTTTTCAATCGTGAAAAATAACTAAAAAAATAAAAAGAAAGCGTGTTATTTTTTCTGGTACATGCTCTTTATTCACAAGTACAGAATTCGAACATATTAAATTAGTTTCAGATAAAGCAGTTTAAATGAAATCAGACATAATATACATAACTATACTTTTGTGGAACGAACTCCCGCTAGACATTAGAATGCCCCCCAACAAACATTCCTTTAAAACCAAGCTGCGAAGCTTTTTATTGGAACAGGCGTTTCGTTATGTAGTTTGTCGTCATGTATGTACTATATGAAGTATGTATGTTTATATAGGTATGTTATTTTTATAATATTATATTTATTATGAGTAAAATTAATATTTCTTTAAATGTGATCTCCACCTCAGTTGTGCACTCTGCCACTAAAATCTCCACAACACCCTATGGTTGACTGGTAGAGAATGCCATTAAGTCCGCCATTGTACAGTATGTGCATGAAGAATAAAATAAATAAATAAATATACCATAAAAAACAAATGAATGAATGAATGAATGAAAAACTTTATTGTAGACCATGAGATTGTAAATTACAATTAATTAAGACTATTACATTATAGTACAAACGGCGGCCTTATCGCTAAGAAGCAATTTCTTCCAGGCAACCGTATGTTAACTGGACTGTTACATAGAGAGTGGGAAGTAGATGGTGTCATTTAAAGTAAAACTACCATTAATAATACTTATAAATAATTATGTACAACAAAAACTAAAATACAAATACATAAACATAATAATTATATCCATTTATAAACACAATAACAATTTAATCATACTTTGGATGATGTGATGACTAGCTTAAGTGTCAGGTAATGTTCCTTTAACATTTTTTTAAAACAAGGTAATGTTTTAGCACCTCTAATTGTTTCCGGCAAGGCATTCCACAAACGAGCAGCCTGAACTACAAATGACTTGTCCATAAATATCGTGGAGTGCATTTGAATCTCGAGTGTTAAATTCTCTGACGATCTCAAAACACGAGCATGTGTATCATGCAGGAAATTAAAACGGTCCTTGAGATAAGATGGAGTAAAGGGATTAAATAATATACTGTAGAGAAGGGAAAGGAGAAAGAAAAAAATTTAGAAAAAATACAAAGGTCGTAGATCGCGGTCGTTCCTCATGTTTTTTTTTTCAACATGGTGAAAAAAACATACTTTACTATATTTTTCAATACTAATAACCCCTTATTCATAAACGGAAAATAAGCTTGAGTTAGTTACTCCATGTTTAGTCTCTGAATCATTGAGTGACAAATGGCATTTGAGTGATATGAATAAAACACGGTGTAGCTAGTCTAATCTTATTCCTTGTTTATTAATGAATTTTTTTGAATAATCATGTTAATTGACATATTATTTTATTTTAATTTTATTTTATTGACATATATAAATTTAATTTAATTTTAATTACTGACAAATTTAATTTAATTTTATAAATGAATTTCCATTTCTATTATATTTCTACTGTTAATAAGATCAATTGAGTAAGTTATATTGTTAAACAAATGGAATCAGATGACATTTATGCATAATTTGAGATTAATTTGAGATCTATTTAGTTTAGGATTATTGCAATACCCTAACTGGGTTCTTGTTTGGAATGATATATATATATATATATATATATATATATATATATATATATATATATATATATGTAACAGCATGTAAACAGCAAGAATTTGTAACAGCATGTAAATAGTATTCACAACCGCTTTGCTATCTACATCGATCGTACAGAAAACTGCAGTTGTTTAGAATGCAGATATACTTACAATAAATGCTGCATTACATAAACCCCCAACACTAGTTTGTATGTACAGTTGCGCCGTGATGTTGCGTCATTATCATTTAGTGTCGCCGCACGCGAACCACCGACCACAACCACAAAACGCCGCCACCGGCATATTTCTTGTAGTTTTCATAAATTTTACATGGACTCGCCATACACGGTACGCCGGTGGCCGCCACACGCTACAAATCGTCGTTGCTCGCTTCTTATGGCCCGCACTGGCCACTTAATGCGCCGATACAAAACGCCGCCACACGTCACTCGCGCGATTCCCCACCCCTCTCTCCCTTACCTTAGTCGGCCGCTGTCGCGCGCTTCAGCCACTTTAGTAGCCGCTTCTAGTTTCTCGTGGCGGTGTTTGTGGCTGTGACGTGTGGCCCGTGTGCGGCGACGCTTATAGCACGGCGGGTGTTCTGCGGAGTTATTCTCCCTTTACCCAGCTTCCCCTTTCCTTCAGAGGACTACGTGCTGGCCTAAGTTGTCATCGACTTACTGTGATCACGATTTTAACGGGAACAATCATAGTAAATTGTTCACCAGTATAAAGGTCAGTGCTCATTAGTCTAATCGAATGATTAGACCCACCGGCACACGGCGTTCACTTGTTCGTCACCCGTCTGAGCCATTTTTTTTCGATGACGGGGAGAAAAAATGCATTATATCCACGACAATGACTAACGTCACGTTGGTTTGGACGTTCACTAGTAACAACGTGGCGTCAACCTGAGCTTGCTGGTCGACTTCGAGTGGAGGTCGCGCAACGAGGTGGTGCCGGCTCTAATGAGCTGTAACCTTAAGGGAACAAAGAACTATTTGAAAACCGCGAGCGATTTTTTAATCCAAAGCACAGCGAAGAGGGATTCAAAGTACTTTACTCGAGCTTTCAAAAGAGCTCCCGAGGTGGACACCCTACATTTTATCACCCTCTATAAGAAAATAAGTAAATGCAACTACAAATATGTAAGAAATGTACGTTTGTTAATTTACAAACAAGAACAACAAGACAATCTTGGAAATAGGCCAAAAGCACATTTTCTGAATAAGATTTCAGTTTTCTTGCAGGATGAAAATTTTCATGATGCTTTTAAATATTGTTCGAGGGATTTTGTAGGTAAACAACACTTTGTATCACATTTTAAGCATACATTTATTGTCACTACTAGAGGAAGACACTAATTTTTTACAAAACCGGATAAATCCGAATTTGAGTACACAATTTTATTATGAACGAAAGTATTTCGCGCGTTTGTATGTATTTTTTTATAACGTTTTTTTTCATTAGGAGAGCGCGCGGTTTTCGCTGTAACCTGTAAATAAAATGTTGATGATTGATGGTACTTTTAATAAAAATATTTCAAAGCACTTTTAGTCCCTGGGGATTAATATGCAATTTTGGTCCCTGTAAACAGAGAACACGCTAGCTTTTTTTATTGGAGTTTACTCCTTAAGAATCGATTTGAATATATAAGGGGCCCGGTATGAGAAAAATGTGAGGAGTAAAATCATTCGATGAATGACCTCGTTACGTTTTTGGTGCGTATCCATCCATCCATCATGTCGCGCAAATTTGACAAACAAAGATGACGGATTGACATTAATATTTTTTTTAAAATCTGAACTGAATTTAGATATTGTTTCTGATAGAGCAATGGGGACAACGAGGTATGGTACAACCATTGATGCGGTACTTTCAAGATTTGTGAACCACGTATCTACGAACGTCCATGTGTCTTATTTTAGTTACCATAAACCACTTGTCACTGTAATCAATAATGCAGCAATGTTGATTTAATTAATATTTAAAAAAATGATAATAGTCTGATAATAATAATTACATAATTTATCAACATTCCTAATGATATATTTATGCACATCTGAAATTGACTATTGTAAAAAGTTTAATGTAAAATATTTCGTCGATTAGTTATAATAAAAGTATATGAAATGAATAAATATATATTATTTTCATTAATTTGTTAATTTACCCTTTCATATAGTATCAACCTTTTTTAAGTTAAATAAACTCTTTTTGCGTCTGGCTAGACTATCGAACTTAAGGAGTAAACTCCAGTCGTGCGTCGGAGCTGACACACACAATTTTTCCTTTATGGACCTTCAACACAGCTATATTAATACAAACAGACAAGCATAGGGATGATGACTAATTTTTTTTCTTCGTTTATCAGGTAGATTATCAAAAAGTATCGGACGCGTATTTTTTCCTTTTTTCACATATTATAAACATTGCAGAGATATATTGATTTGAAAAGTCGCATGTCGTCACGTTTTGGTACAATTTTCACATAAAAGTGACGTCACGAGCCCCTACTCCCAAACTTTGACGCGCTATAACTTTGTCATTTCTTGGTTGATTGTCCAAAGAAAAAATACGTGTCCATTATTTTTTGATCATCTAACTGACGGACTAAATAGAATTTCGTTTACTGTACCCCGTCATCACCCCTTAGATGGCCTCATCATGCGCTAAACACTTAACAGAAATATTCTGCATCTTATTTCAGGTCATATACTATATGCGTACCAAATTTCATCCAAATCCGTAAAGCAGCTTTTGCATGAATAACAAATATACCGTACTATAAAACTTTCACTTTTATAAAATGAAACACAAAGCGTCAACGTCAATTTAACATTCTCGTATAGACTGAATGTAGTTTAAGTGAAATCTAAATTTAGCAACATCATTGCAACTGGACTTTAAACGTAGAAGTCACTTGATGAGTATGATGTTTTTGTTTCCAGGTGGACCTATACAGGGAGATCACATTCCGCAACTCCGGGCAGACATATCGCGGCGTTCCGGTAATGGCGAGCAATATGGACACCGTAGGCACCTTCGAGATGGCACAGGAACTGTCTAAAGTACGTCTCTTAATCGTTCTCTCTAATCAAAGGCCTAATCTTATTCTACAAACTGAAAAAACAGTATCGCCTGAGGAGCTACACTCTATTCAACTTCCGAAAGGAAAAGGACATATGTTCAAATTTCAAAAAGTCTATGAGCTATTTAAGTAAATAAAATACCGAAATCTGGACCCTCAAGATTCGACCCAAAAGCAAAAAGTGCCCATTGGACCTCTTTTTTGGTGTCCATTGGACCTTCTTAAAACATTTTATATTCAATGTGCCCATTGGAACCTCATTTTTGGTGCCCATTGGACCTCCTTAAAAATTTTATATTCAGTGTGCCCATTGGACCTCTTTTTAAGTGCCCATTGGACCTTCAAGATTATACCCTATTGCCAGTTCGACCTTATTAACAGTTTTGTTAAGCACAGTACAGTCATGTAGAAAATTGCAGACAAAAATAAAATTAATAGTAGGTATTATAAAGCCACTAACTAAATACTGTATAAGTACTGACTCCAAACAGTAAGTAGTCCTAAACAAATTATAAAGAAATCAGGTTACCTTTTTTCTTCGAATTAACGACATTTCGCCGTCCCCGGAGAATAAAAACACGTAAGTTTTCAGGAAAAATAAAAAAAAACCTTTTTTTTTCTATTGCTCTATAAATACTGGACGCAGACAGATGATAGTAACCTTTAAGAAAAGCAAATTTTTAACACATTTGGATTTTTTTGTAAGGTACTCGTACAATAAGATATAATGGAGATATTTAGAAAATAAAAGGTGAATCAAAAGTAATCAAAATTTAATTTGTATAATGTTTATTTTTATTTTATTCGTATTGACAAGGAGCCAAAACCAAATATTGCACTACTGACATGTATTTTTATTCTATGTGTTATAAGGGTGCAAGTGACAATGATAATACTTCAATATCTTTTTTTTTCGTAAATATTGTAAAACCTTTTTTTCTTTAAAGGACATAATATATGTTTGTGCTTTAGGTTTAAAAGAATGACCTTTAATTACATTAATTTAAAATTTAATTACATTAATGATCATTAATGTAAAAAGGTTTCACTCAATAGGGCGATCGTACACATAAATACCCTTACAGCGCAACACCAAATCCACAAGACCTTCAAATCGAACAAAGTTCGATTGATTCAAAGTTCCTTAAAACAGCTTGGATCTAGACAATCTAAGCAACATTATGGTGGATTTTGCAACGAAATCATCTTTTGATCTAAGACTGAAATTCTGAGGTAGATTGAGTGTTTTTATCGACATTTATACTCCTCTTAAGCACCTAATGAAAGGAAGGTTATAGATTCCAAGCCCAAGCAATCTCTGCGCTTAAACAAAAGGATGGCGCCGATCTCATATGTGGGAGAGAGAGAGAAAATTTGCTGTCTCGTTCCGATTTATGACCTATGTTGTAGCTAGAAAATAATCTTACAACCGTAGGCCATTGCTTAGAAAAATTACTCACATATGTATCTTAAATATTTAATTTGGTAATTTATAATGTTTTACAAAAGACTGTTAAATTTTTTATGGAGGTAGGTAGTGGAGTCTTTCGGCAGACTCCAAGTTTTTATGAGACGCAGCGCACTTAATTGTGAATCGTTTGACAAAAAACTAGAATTTTATTTTATCCCGGTTTTTTATATTAAAATAACATAAATCTATCTAATAATTGATTTGCAAATGGCATGTTTATTTATCTATTTTTTGTTGCCAAGCATCAACTATATTATATTCAATGTGTAACAAAAGCAGTGATAATAATTTTGATAATAATCCATGACTGGACTGATTGACATTTGCCATAGTGATTGAGTTGACGTTATAAGCCACCACGCACTAAAAATATGACGTTACTAAGATAGGGTAGCCAGCATACTTAAAAAAATGTTTAATTATTAAACGAGATTTTAAATTAATCGGTAATGAATAAAAAAATCAAAGTATCTATTCATGTTATACAAACTTTCAAAATATATATATTTCGTCCCTGCCGGAAACCGACTACCGCTTTTGAACCATATCCTTTAGTTAAAGTATGTTTTTATTATAAGCAATTTCTGGCTAATTGTAAAAATATGATTAGAAATCATTTTTTTACAAAATGTAATATGAAAATATTACATTAGTATTTTATTTTATGAATATTTAGAATACATAATAATTGTGCTTCAATAGTTAATGTGAGTGATATAAAAACTGTATGTATAATTTAGTTAAGATATCTGATAAAAACACATTTCTATTTTAAAGTAAAATAACAAAATCTGTGATTTGATTATTATATTCTATGGTTTGTTGCTGATGATTGATGTTTCGAATTTTATAAATATGTTGATTTTAAATACTTACATTTATAGCCTTTGTGCTTTTATTTATTTTATCAATATTTAGAATATATAATAATTGTGCTTAATCTATGTGATATAACAAACCATATTTATAATTAAGTTAAGCTATTTGATAAAAAATAAATTCTATTGGCTTTAAAAGTAAAGTAAAAAATCTGTGATTTGATTATTATATTTTATGTAAATATTTATATTGGTTGTTACTGATGGAGAGTTTTGAATTTTATAAGAATGTTGATTAAATACTTAGAATTATAACCTTTGTGTTTTTATGTCTTTTACAATGTTACTTTACTACACGACTGTACTTTACCGTTCCAAAAGAATTAGCCAAATAGTTAAGAGCTCCAATAGCTCCCATTGTGTTGTTAAGTACGTCTTTGAGGGTCCAATGGGCACCATGTTCTTGATAGGAGGTCGAACGGGCACTTTTTTGTAGGTAAGGTCCAATTAGGAGGGTCCAATGGGTACTAGACCGAAATCTGTGGCAAAGGTTGTCTATTTGAAAATAATATTGAACTTAATACATCATCATCATAATATATAATCTTTTTTACATCATCATCATGTCAACCGATAAACGCTGTCTGCTGGACATACACCTCCAAGCTTCCCCGAGAAATTTCAAACCGATCGCTTATGCGCTGCCCGCGTCCAGCGACGTTTCGCGACCTTTACTAGATCGACACGCTGCGTCTCCCGTTACGCGACCGCCACTCGAGGACCTTTCCGCGGTCCTCGAGTCGAGTCGAGAGTCGAGAGAGAAAAGTCCTCGAGAAAGGCGGAGAAGACTGATGTCCTCCTAGCTATGAGCCCTGCCCTGTGCCACTTAAGGCTTGTAATGCTTTGGGCTATGTCGGCGACCATATTTCTCCTACGGATCTGATCATTTATGATTCGATCGCGTAGAGAGACCCTGAGCACAGCCTTCTCCATTGCCCATTCAATGACTCTGAGCCTTCTTATGAGGCAATGTAAGCGGCCACGTCACGGTTTCATCCGTGATCATTGGCAAAACAGACATATTAAAGACCATTTTCTTGTGACACTGCGGCAGATGGGTCGAGAATACGCTGCGTGCTCTTTTTAATTGTATTGTAACTAATTTCCTGTTTTGTTTTCAGCATGGACTTTTCACATGCATACACAAGTACTACACGACTGAGGAATGGAAGAAATTCGCTACGGACCATGTAGAGTGCCTTGAACATATGGGTAAGTTATTGCAAAGTAATGTGTTGTAATTAGTACCATACTCGTAATAGGGTATCCAAATACAAATACAAGTGCTTTATTTCCATACCTTATTATTACATTATATAAACTATTAAATATGAATAGGAAAAGGAATAGCACAGCGCAGCAGGTTTTAAGCGTACCCATCAATTTTTTTGTGGTTAGTTATACAATTTAAATTCAATTATTATTAATAGCTAATTGAATATCAAATATATTCATTACAATGTCAATTTATTTAGTTGTCAATTCAATGTTACGTTATATTTAAAATGTCATATTTTTTGACTAGTCAATTAAGTATCCCAATGTTTAGGTTAAGTTTGAGCAGAACTAATTCTATTTTACCTTGAAATAGGTTGAGCCACAAGAGGTTTGGAGGACATTTTATTAATGAAAAGCCTAATATTCGTAAACATAAATTGCAACTTCATATATTTTTATTTTAGGCTTACTTGTAGCAATTTTGCTAAAACTGGGCTCAACTAAAACTGGCTTTAGCCCTAACGTCTACTTGCAGAAATATTGCTTAATTGAAACAAAGTTTTATCTTTATCTGCTATAAACTACTTGATACATAAATCTAAAGAAAATTTTAATAAAAAACCTTTTGGGATGGGTATCCTAAAACTTATTAACTTTAGCTCTATGCTTCGGGAAGCACGTCAAGCCGTTTGTCCTGGCTGCATCTGCAGTCGTTAACACTCACCAAAAGCACAGAGCGGGTACGGTGGGTCACGGCCCAATCTCCCTATTCCATCCGTAGGGAAGGCCTGTGCCTTATAATATTATATATTACTAGCTGTAGTGCGAACTTCGTACTGCCATAAAAATAGGGGCAGGTGGAAGAAGATTCCTCCTAACCCATATGAGAACACTACGCTACGTAACAATACCTAATACATTGAATTTTGGCGCGAAGGCGCATTGTAGATTTCAGAACACTACGTTACAGGTGGACAACCATTATCACTTAAGGATATGAAAAAAAAAATAGATAGTAGCCGATTCTCAGACCCACGGAATATGCATATAAAATTTCATTAAAATCGGTCAGGCCGTTTCGGAGGAGTATTGTAACTGTAGGAAGGCCAAAGGGGAAGATCTTCCTCCGAGCTGGGTGATGGTAGCTCGGGGGCCGCGGCCCGGCTGATGTTGGTCGGGCATCGTATATATGAAGAGTTAGCCTCCGAATTTCATTTGCGCGATGTAGGCTTCCATACTAATATTGATCGCAGTGCAGGTAACGCCATCTCTTGAGGATGGTGAGTAATGATTTCCTCCATCCGTTGTATATATGTGGGGCATATAGATGTCGCCGCCACAGTAACTAACATTGTGACACGAGAATTTTATATATAAGATAGTAGTGGGGACGTTAATAGGCTGATGACGATGGTGTAGGCTGATGATTATAATTGTTTAACACAGCGGCTAGCTCTGGCACCGCGGAGGCTGACTTCGAGCGGCTAGCTGACATCCTCAACAATGTGAAGGAACTGAAATTTGTGTGCCTCGATGTGGCCAATGGCTACTCTCAGCACTTCGTGGAGTACGTGAGACGGGTCAGGGCTGCCTTTCCGACGCATACAATTATTGTGAGTAACTGGTAATTCATTTAAATTAAAGAAAAAATAAATATTGACTGGAGTCTATTTATTGGGTTTAATTGACTGGTATGTTGATATACTTACGCCAAAATTGACGTGAACATGAAAAACTACAGTAGGCATGGGAGTGTTCCAAGTAAATATAACTACAAAATACGTATTTGTAATACCGACATCAGGGTAAGCATCTTTTTAAAAGACCAGGAACATTTGTTACAGGTAGTGATGTGCCGAGTCGTTTTTTTTTGGTATTCGGGTATTTTAGTACTCGTTAAAAAAAGATTCGAATTAAGACTCGAGTCGGAAGACTCGGATAGGTATTCGAGTACTAGCACGAGTATTCGAATACTTTACTAGTCTCGAGTTATTTTTTTAATCGGAACTTATAATTCTTCGAGTTTCCTCCCTCCCCGGTCTATATTCTTCAATTTGACCTGAATAGCATGTTTTGACCAAAAAGTCACCTGTAATTGTCTTTTACGACTTTTCGCTGGTAATTGGTCAATGTCATTTGATTGAATTGTAGATGACGATGCTAATACCAAGTCCAAAACAGAACTCTATTATCGCTGTATAAATCAAAGGATGTAATTTTTCAAATGTTATAATAAAATGGTGTTTCTAAAATTAACAAATGTTTTTTACACTCTTTGCACTCCAATTTTTTATTTGTTAAAATATTATTAAAATTTCATACTTCGGATTTTTTCTTCGGAGCCATCCTATCACAAAGTCACTAGTTAAAAAACAGTAAAACTTTACATAAATTCTACAGTTAAACTAGTCCGAGAGTTCGACTAATTATAATAGGTAATTACTTATAAGAACCAAATATGTAATTAAACTTTTGCTAACATCTCATTAAAGTAATCTGCCGAGTAGGAAACATAAACACGTTCAAACCTGCACCGACTCATCAACACTTCACGATACTAACTTCACTGTACGAGTACAACGACTGAGTATTCGAATACCGTAAATACTCGAAACCTGTACTCCAGTACTGTAGATCCGAATACAATATTTCGAGTACTCGAGTACGAGTACGTCAACCTGACTCGGCACATCTCTAGTTACAGGAGAGCTCATGATTTCTTCACCAAAAGTCTTGGGGTCGAATCCCGTCTTACTTTGGGCAACAAGTATAAAAAAGCGTGGGAGAAGGCCGCAATTTATCAATTTAATATTTTTCTACATATACTTGAATTTGAGCGAGGCACTAATGTTTTAATCAATGAACTTCTGATGGGTTCCTTCGATACTTTACAATAAGTTGTTTTAAAGGATGTTTAAATGATATCATAAAATTCTACAATAGTAATTAATATTATCGATTTGCGTCCATTTGCGCGGTGGTCATAAGTAAGCGCTGCATAATTCTTTTTTTGCTTCTACGACGCAAGGGTCAACAAGACCAAGGGGATCGAATATTTGACTTATTACAGATGGAATATGGCGTTTTGTTATATCTTTATTTGTTTGAATATTTATGGTATACGTTAGGTAGTCGCAGTCGCTTACCAAATTTAAGCCTAAGGCATTGTCCTAATACAACGCGATAACGCGATCATCGCGCGTTTAAACGATGCGACCATCGCGCCATCGCGAACTGCGTGTCCTAATAGAACGCGAATACGCGATCACGATTGACACACAGTTTGGTCGGGTTAGCCCTGCCCCTCTCCCCGCTTCCTATCGACGCGACGATCATCGCGGGAACTTCAGTTAGTACACCTGTTCATCATTAATAGGTTTGATTCCGAACTTAGTTCGCGCGAATACATTTATAAACATTTTGATCGCCTATTAGGACACCTATTCTAGATCAATATGTTTGATCGTCGACTCGTACGATAATCGCATCGCTCATTCGCGTTGTATTAGGACAATGCCTAACGTTCTAGAAAGAGAACAGGTTTGACCTCGCTCAGATTTTTTTAAAATATTACTAGAGTCTTTACAAGAATTTTCTTCACCTTCTATTCATTGTTTCAGGCTGGTAACGTAGTGACGGGAGAAATGGTAGAAGAGTTAATTCTATCCGGTGCTGATATAATTAAGGTGAAGTAAACACAATTAATTGTAATAAATTGTAATATAACATGAGCTCGGTGGCGCAAGTGGTCAACACGTTCTGCTGCGATCGTTGAAGTTAAGCAACTTTTGCAGTGGTCTTGGTCACCTGACCAAAAATTTAGTCTCTCGAGCTCTTCACTAACGGCTGTAATTGCAGTCGTCTCTCTTTTTTCTGAATCTTTGCAAATAAATGTTATTAATAAAATCTGATGCTTCTTCTCGCTTAATCTTAGTAAATAACTTTTATTAAATAAAAAATGGGTGCGTGTACTTATGTAGGCGCGTGAGAAGTTATCCTTCTTTGGCATCGTTTAAAATTAGTTTTTAATTGCATGAAATTACAAAAAATAAAGATGTGGTTTTTGGTTCTACTACACCAATGGTCAAGAGATGGCGCTGTAGTCTCTTGAATCGCGCTTTGGTTCCGTTGTTCCAGATTAATAAATACTTTTGATATTATAAATATGAATACCTATAACTGTTACTTTATTACAAAAAATAAAGATGTGGTTTTTGGTTCTACTACACCAATGGTCAAGAGATGGCGCTGTAGTCTCCTGAATCACGCTTTGGTTCCGTTGTTCCAGATTAATAAATACTTTTGATAGGCCTTCACAATGCAGTCGTTAGCACCCACTAAATAGAGATTCTATTTCTATTTTGTTGGTAGATTTTCTTAATGTGCGGTAAACACAAAAGTAACAGCATGAAGTTGGTCGCTTTACCAACTTCATGCTGTTAATTTTTGTGTTACAGTGATGCGCGCGCATCTTAAAATTTCACTCATCATTTTTTCATAACGCGCCTAAAGAAGTATAACTTCAAAAACTTTTTTTGCTCACTCTACCTATTTCGTTTGAATTGACAGCTATGACATCACAATATGGCGCCCAGTCGGTCCTATTCTTAATTGAATCGCATTATACCGTATCTTCTCTTTTTGTTTTAATCTAAGACGCCCATGATAGAAAAGCTGATATTTTTGTGTTCCCAGGTTGGAATTGGTCCCGGCTCGGTGTGTACTACCCGCATCAAGACGGGCGTGGGGTACCCGCAGCTATCGGCCGTCATCGAGTGCGCGGACGCAGCGCACGGACTTAAAGGACATATTATTTCGGTAAATATGCCTTATGATGTACAATCCGGCAAACTCCTTGTGAATCGACCATAGACAAGGAAGCCTTATTCTGCGCAATTTTTTGTGTCTGTGGTTTTGCTCAATAAGTTTACTGCTGATATCTTGCCTAAATCTATATTTAAAAAACTCAAAGGTGACTGACTGACATAGTGATTTATCAACGCACAGCCCAAACCACTGGACGGATCGGGCTGAAATTTGGCATGCAGGTAGATGTTATGACGTAGGTATCCGCTAAGAAAGGATTTTGATCAATTCTACCCCACTAGTATGAAATAAAATTAATTGTGGTAGAGGAATTAGATCCTCAAATAGGGTTCTGGCTATGTGTTTATTAATTTAAGTATAATATAGGAGAGAATATGTAGCGTTCTGTTTTGTATCACGAGTTAAGTAGTTTTTAAAATGGGAATATAATCTCGAGCGCTTCAGAAGTCCAGCAGTGGTGCAGCATCGGCAGCACCCACCAATTCACGCTGGCTCTTTCTTCATATTTCATTCAAGAAAAGTAAAAATATATTTATTCAAATTGGATTGGATGTATAGTAAAACTCTTTTGAATCGATGAAAATCGTTTTTACCTACTACTCGTTCTTGGACTTTTTAGCTGCGGAGAAAGAGGATCGAAAAAAATCCACAACATTAAAAGATAAATGTAACAACATTTACAAAATATTATGTTGTTACAACTTCAATACAATCATGATTTATTTCATATTGAATACCTGATGGAATGATTCGAACAGTTCACATCCTAGCATTTTTGTATCTAATGTGTCGTAATTTTTGTGTCGAATCTGGCAGGGTGCTCTAAACTGAAACTTAAATTTGACAACAGTGTATCCTGACTGATTTTAAATCTTGTTTAAGTTTAAAGAATCCTGCCTTATAGACATCATTTTGGAATAAGCTTTTTTATAGTATGTTTGACTCCTGGATATTGCATGAAACATTCATAGTTGAAAAAGCAATCTTGTTTTCTTTCTAATGTTAATGATGGGTCATGACCCGCACTCCCTATTCCATCCATAGGGAAGGCCTGTGTCCCAGCAGTGGGGACATTAATAGGCTGATAATGATGATGTTTACAGGACGGTGGCTGTACGTGTCCAGGCGACGTAGCGAAGGCTTTCGGCGCCGGCGCAGATTTCGTGATGGCGGGTGGCATGTTCGCCGGTCACGACCAATGCGGAGGAGACGTGGTCACCAAGCCTGATGGGAAGAAAGTCAAGCTGTTCTACGGAATGTCTTCCTCGACGGCCATGCTCAAACACTCGGGTGGCGTGGCGGATTATAGGTCGGCTGAAGGTAACAAGATTTAATACAAAAAAGATGCGTACGAATTTTAAATAATGTGGACATAATGGAAAGCTGCAGACCACATTTTGCTGAACTAAAAATTCTAACTCTCACTTCACTCTATATTTTTGAAATTTGTAAGTTTGTAAAACAAAATCCTCCTTATTTCCCCAAAAACAGGACTGTTCTAGTACATGTATAAATTTGAGATACAAAGATAGCCTTACCCTCATCAAGTCTTAAAATCCATAGTAAACGCAATTAAATTTTATAACAAATTACCTAAATATATAACCGTAGAACAAAACGTTAAAAAGTTTGCACAAATATTAAAACAATATTTATGGAAAAAAAACCTTCTATATTATGCAAGAGTTTTTTGTTGAAAGATAATTGTAATCTTAAATTTTAATGTGATTGATTATAATTATGTGTATTTTGTTTATTTTATGTATACTGATATTGTAGTGCTCTTACAGGTTTCATGTTTGGATCTGACACTAAATCTTAAGAACTTGTAATAACCACTTAAAACAATAAATACATATATTGAATTGAATTGAAAAAAAAATATGAAGGAAACGAGACCATATAAGCGAACATTTCCCCCTCAAATTATAACTTGCCTCCTTACACTGCTATACTCAAACATTCTGTGTGGTGGCTGACTTATGTTTTTTTTGTCGTCATGGCCCAATCTTCCTATTCCATCCATAGGGAAGGCCTGGTCAGTGCCGTCTTTGACCTATTGGAGGCCTTGGGCATATTAGGATGACCCCCGTTTGGTGATCTAACAAGAACTAGGGACTTTGTATTTGTGATCTGAGGTGCCCACCTAACGATCACGGGGCCCTGGGCACTTGCCCAAAGAGCCCACTGGGAAAGACGGGTCTGTGTGTGGTGGCTGACTCATGGTTCTTTTTGTCGTCATGGCCTAATCTTCGTATTCCATCCATAGAGAAGGCCTGTACCCCAGTAGGGGGGACATTAATAGGCTCATGATGAGTGTCACTCTGCCCATTCTTTATGTCTATGGAGTGGTATATAGACTGTTTTTCTCTTCCTAGAGAACTGTCGATTTATGCGGGGGTTACTCAGTCAGTTTATTATGGATTTCTTGACATGTATATGTGATGACGTATGACGATTAATTGACATGTTTAAATGGAATTAATGTTTTGTTATGATTAACAATAGTGTGACCAATTACAATCTTTATATATATATTTTTCTTCTGTGAGTGTGTATGTCACTGAACTTCTCTTAAACGACTGGACCGATTTTGATGAAATTTTTTGTGTGTGTTCAAGGGGATCTGAGAATGGTTTAGATTCACAATTTTGTCCGCTGGACAACCCCTATTTTTTTAGGGCGGTACGAAGTTCGCTGGGTCAGCTAGTATTAATATAAAATAATTTGATATTTGCATGCTAATTTAGCGAATCATGTTTGAGCACCATATGTATTGTAACATCTTTTTATTTTACCATGTTTCCTGTAAATAAATATGAATATGAATATGAATATGAATATGAATATGAATATGAATATGAATATGAATATGAATATGAATATGAATATGAATATGAATATGAATATGAATATGAATATGAATATGAATATGAATATGAATATGAATATGAATATGAATATGAATATGTTGTTTGTCTCCAGGTAAAACGGTGGAGGTTGAATACCGCGGCGACGTGGGCGCCACCACGAAGGATATCCTAGGGGGCCTGCGCTCCGCCTGCACATATGTGGGAGCCGCGCGACTGAGGGAGCTCCCGCGCCGGGCCACCTTCATACGGTGCTGTCGGCAAGCCAACGATACCTTCTCATAAATTGTACTGAAAATACCGGCCAGTGTGACGTCACTACACCGGTCAGTATGACGTCACTACACCGGCCAGTGTGGCGTCACTATACCACAGTGTGGCGTCACTATATCAACCAGTGTGACGTCACGCCGCCTACATACAGTGCTGCAAGCAGACCAAAGACACCTTCTCTTAAAGTAATCTACTTTAATAAGCAATCTGGTAGAGTGAGATGCATTGTTCAACAACTACACCTTCGCATAAATTAATTCGCCTTCAACGGCCAACGGCAGTCCTTCTGCTTCTGTTCACAGCATGAGAAAGTAAGATTCATTGTTCAACGATGCCTTTTCATAAACTATACCAGCCAGTGTGACATCGTTTCACCTGAAGGAACTATACGCCACGCTACCTTTATACGGTGCTGCCGGCAGGCCAACAACACCTTACTTAAACTAGTCTACTTGTATAGGCAGTCTCGTAGTATAAGATGCATTATTTGATTAGTAGATTCGAGTGTATGAAGAGATACACTGTGCCAGCCAGTGTGATGTCATTACACCGGCCAGTGTGAAGTACCAATACCGGCCAGTGTGATGTCATTACACCGGCCAGAGTTATGTACCTACACCGGCCAGTGTGATGTCATTACACCGGCCAGTGTGATGTCACTACACCGGCCTTAGTGATTTTTTTCTTTACACCGGCCAGTGTGATGTCACTACACCGGCCAGTGTGATGTACCAATACCGGCCAGTGTGATGTCATTACACCGGCCAGTGTGATGTCACAAACACCGGCCTAAGTGATTTCATTACACTGGCCAGTGTAATGTCACTACACCGGCTAGTGTGATGTCACTACACCGGCCAGTGTAATGTCACTACACCGGCCAGTGTGATGTACCAATACCGGCCATTGTGATGTCATTACATCGGACAGTGTGATGTCACAAACACCGGCCTTAGTGATTTCATTACACCGGCCAGTGTAATGTCACTACACCGGCCAGTGTGATGTCACTACACCGGCCAGTGTAATGTCACTACACCGGCCAGTGTGATGTCACTACACCGGCCTTAGTGATTTTTTTCTTTACACCGGCCAGTGTGATGTCACTACACTGGCCAGTGTGATGTACCAATACCGGCCAGTGTGATGTCATTACACCGGCCAGTGTGATGTCACAAACACCGGCCTTAGTGATTTCATTACACCGGCCAGTGTAATGTCACTACACCGGCCAGTGTGACGTTCCTACACCGGCCAGTGTGATGTCATTACACCGGCCAGTGTGACGTCACTACACCGCCTAGTGTGATGTAACTACACCGGCTAGTGTGATGTCACTACACCGGCCAGTGTGATTATAATTTAAATAGTTATAAATTACATTTTGCTACTAATTTTCTATTAGACCCAAAGTTGCTCGAACTTTGCATCTCACTATCCAAAAAAGTATTGTAACAGAAACAAGATTAGATAGAAAATTTATTAAAAATAACCACGTGTAGCCATCATAGCTTCGTGCTTGCGAGATCGCACAAATCTTTAATATAAAATAGATAATTATTGTTAAATGGGGATTTTACTCTGAGCATTTTATACTAAGATGATGTTTCAAATATGTATATCCAAAAGGCCTTAGATACGTGAGATTTTTTCTCGACTCAATTTCAGTGAGACAACGCTATACCAAGTATACAGCACCATCTGTCTTTGACAACTGCTTTTGGATCGTGTTTGAAATACAGTACAGCAGGGTCGTAGCTAGGGGAGAGTGGCATTATGGGGTAAAGCTTTTCCTTAAAATACCTTAATACGGGGCGGCAAGCTGCGAAATGGGACGCCCATGCTTATGCCCTACCTGTTATTATCACTGCCCTATCGTAAAGCCCCGTACAGGGCCGGAATTAAGGTATGACAGACAGAGATATAAAAAACAGGGGGGTGGTGCAAATCGCTAGTGGTATAGTCCACATTTAGGGGCCCTACCCCTTTGTTGCCCCAGGGCCCTCTCACCTCTAAATCCGGCCCTGGCCCCGTATTAATTTAGCTAAAATATTGCAGCTGGTGCTAAACTAGTGTTTCTTTATAGTAAATAGATAATTAATTAAATAGTGAAGATGGATAAATGACGTGTCAGTTATCTACCAAAAGTTTTGATTAATGAGGGCTATCGCGTATAAATCCGCCGCTAGAGGTGCTTGTGTAGCGTGAAGTCTCAGAATTGTCAAATGTTATTGCTTGTGAGTTGACTACACGGGTTTATTTCTAATTAAAATAATTTTGTGAATATTTGGTAATAACTCGGCTTAAATATTAGCAAATATGAGTTAAGTGTCAATGAATGTGTATTTAAAAGCGGAGCTAAGAAAAAATATTATGTCCTGCTTTTATCGAAACAAAACGGACTCATCACTGTGGCATGGCCGATTATGTTTAAGATATGGTTCTTTTGTATTAAAATATGATTTCAATGTAAACTTTAATTTAACGCGCGTATTAATCAACTTTAAAAGTTACAATTCAGGAGCTCACTCAACAGTGTCGCCATCTGGTGAGACAGAAAACGGTAGCCCTCATTGTTGTGTGTTACATTTAAACGCGATGATGAAAATGTTAAAACAAAGATCTAGTTGTACTTAGTATGCTACGCCCAATATTTACATCTTCGCTTTTTTTTGAATAATTATACTATACCTATATCTGTCATTGTTTTTGTCAAATTTTGTAAACAATTTATTTCATCAAAATAGGTTTATAATATTTTAAACCGAAACTTTAATTACATGACGCATTATAATTTTAATTGTTATTAAAAATCCAGCCCTGATCAACAACAAGCATCGGTGGCACACAAGGGCGGATCCAGCTTTGGCGTCAGGGGGGGGGGGGGACATATAGTGGTCAAGTCACAGTGGGTACAGATGGACCCAGCCCGGGGGGGGGGGGGTCATGACCCCCATGACCCTCCCCCTGGATCCGCCCTTGGTGGCACAGTGGTAGTAAGTTAACCTACTACGTGGGTTTTCCGGGTTCAATTCCCATTCACTTCACTTACATCGTGAATTCTTACAACCACACTAATTTTTTTAACGCTCCATGCAGCGTTATTATGTTATCCAAATTCAACTTTTAACCATCCGGGTGGAGTGTGGTTTAGTGAAACGATAATACGCGTTTATCTGGTTATACTTTATTTCAAAAACTTAACGGTAGCACACGAGCGCGGCTAGGGATGAAACGATACGAGTAACTAAGTACTCGATACTTTTCTTTCGATACCAAGTACTTTTGGCATTGATACTTTAGAACTGAGTAATAAGTAGTATCGTAAAGTATCGTACTTGTGTCGGTACTCGGTCGGTCATTCACTGAGAAGTATCAAAATACCCAAAGGCAGATTGTTTACTCTATGGTAATGTGTCTAGTTGGAATTTTTATATCGCGAACGCATCTATTCTACTGCTCAGTTGACAGCCATTGGGTACCGTACCCTTACGTATGATTTATATTTATTCCAATTTTTCAGTCAGTTATTCGTTCATCGCTTGGTATGAGCCGTTATTTTGTTTTCGTCAAATTAAAACTGTGACTGTGTAATTGTAATATCGTTCGTCAAAATTTATCGATACAAGTAAGTATCGATACTTTTCTTTCGATACCGAGTAGGCATCGATACTTTATGACCGATACAGTATCGAGTAAAAGTATCGATACCTAAATGGTATCGTTTCATCCCTAAGCGCGGGAGAATCACAGCACCGCGCGTGGCTTTAGGTTATCGAATCCCGGCCAATGATTGACTCCATCGCGCATGCGTTGGCGCAAGTGACGCTACCCGAAATGTTCCCCCACGCGTCCCTTCAACGGTCAATATCTTTCCTTTGAGCCGGAGGGAGGCACATACACGCCACAAACTAGATTTAATATTTCGTTTTGTGAGTTTTATTTCACAAACTTACATTACATTGAGTAGATTTCAAATGTTCAAACATCATAATTTTGAATGGTCACAAAAAAATCGCACTTTCAGCACACGTTATTAAATGGTTCTATTGTTTTAAGTAGGTAATTAACTGTACTTCCAGAGACATTTATCGGCCCACCCAGCATTTTAAATTTTGACGGTCTCTAGCTTAAACTGAATGTTACATTGAGCAAAAAGTTATTACATACGCAGTTTTGAGGCTGATCTATCACACTTATAAGTGTCGCCGCACACGGGCCACACGCCACAGCCACAAACGTCGCCACGAGAAGCTAGAAGCGGCTACTAAAGTGGCTGAAGCGCGTGACAGCGGCGGACTAAGGCAAGGGAGAGAGGGGTGGGGAATCACGCGAGTGACGTGTAGCGACGTTTTGTATCGGCGCATTAAGTGGCCGGTGCGGGCCACAAGAAGCGAGCAACGACGATTTGTAGCGTGTGGCGGCCACCGGCGTAACGTGTGTGGCGAGTCCATATAAAATGTATGAAAACTACAAGAAATATGCCGGTGGCGGCGTTTTGTGGTTGTGGTCAGTGGCCCGTGTGTGGCGACACTAAAGGTGAAAGTTTGTGAGTGTGTATGTTTGTTACTTATTCGCGTCTAAACGGCTGCAGCAATTTTAATAAATTTATTTAAGTATGGAGTAAGCTGACACCCTGGATTAACACATGGCTACGTCACGGTAATATTATAATATTAGCCATATTACCGTGGCTACGTTTTACTGCGGGGAAATCGATGAAAATTAATTTTCCTTAATAAACCGCCGGTCACACCGCGGGGCACGGCTAGTTAATCATATTTTCGTGTTTTCAAAATTATTGCTCAACCCTAAACATATACTTTTGCTACAGCCCATTGAAACTTATAACACTAAGGCCCGCTTCATAGAAAGATTCTCAGTAATGAATCAAATCTTGAGCATAGATAGAAAGGAATGTCGCTATTATATAGCACATAGCGACATCCCTTTCTAACTGTATGTTATAAGTAAAGATCAACACTTAGTTGTCATTTTGTAATACGGGCCTAAGTGGGCCGTTAGATGTGTCCGGGAGTTTATTATTTCGCAAAAGTGTAATAAGTGTTTTAAGTGATAATTCACTCGCGATGTTTATTCGCTTATTACTTGAGCTACCTATATACACATATTGGTGTCGATTCTGGCACGATTCTCCAAACTTTTAACATCAGTCTCTCCTTTTTATTCTGTATAGAGAATGACAAGGATCAGTGCCGTCTTTGACCTATAGGGGGCCCTGGGCATATTAGGATAATGGGGCCCCTATGACCCCCGTTTGGTGATTTAACAGGAACTAGGGACTTTGTATTTGATCTGAGGATAGGGGCCCCCTATCGATCGTGGGGCCTGGGCACTTGCCCATAGTGCCCA